GATTTGATAACTTTTTCTATTTCCCTTTGAATAAACTTTTCCCTTTTAATATTTGAAAGAGAAACTTATACGTTCGTTTCTGACGTTGTTCACGGTTAAGTGGATTCGAAAGAGAAGAGATGTAAGAAGAAGGAGGAGTAGTATAGAAGAAGATGATGATGATGATGATGATGATGATGATGAAGGTAAAACAAAAAAGGAAAATAAAGAAGAGAAAAAAAGAAAACACAAAGAAAAAGAAAATAAAAGGGGTAGAGAAGAAATACTAAGCTTGCTCGGCGGAGTGTAATTTTAGATACGTCTGTAAACCCAAAGAAGATGGAAGTGTACATGTTGTACGTGATTGGTTCGCGTGTTAGTGAAGATGGTTTAATAATATACACATGGTCAGGCGAGTAGTGCGAATACGATAATAAACGATCGGATGTGTACGAGTGTTCTATGTTGAGAACGTCCTAACCTGACTATAAGTGGATTTATGTGATTGTTATCATTCTCATAATTGATAACGATGAGAGAAAGAAAGGGTGAGAGAGAGAGAGAGAGAGGGGGTCAGGGGAAGGAAGGAAGAAAGAAAAATTTCATTGTTATACACACGTTCAGTTTTAGTATACAATTGAGCGTACTAATTGTTAGCTTAACACCTTTTGGTTATACCGAAATTTTCAAGCCCCTTAATCTCATATTAATATTTCATATTATTTCCTTACTTGTTTAAATTACAGATTTAATGAATTATAGGACACATGAGATTAGTTAAAAGTTAGTTTCGACTAATTAGACATGATAATTGACGTATTAGACGATTTATTATTTATATCAGACAGCAAAAGTATGATGATATAGTTTCATATTTAAAAAATTCAATTATGCGAAATAATGAATATTAATTTTGGGTATATTACTTGGAGATTATTTTTAAATTATTCTTTTTCTTTTTTTTTTTGTGTACAATAATAACGTACAGAGAAATATTTAAACAATAATTGTTGTGTATATAAATTGAATGTTTCGTTATATTAATTGTAGAATTTTGTTTCTGTCGTTTTTAATGTTTTAAAACAGCGTAGCTTTTGATAAAATAGATTTTTCAATATATCAAATGATTTAAACTATTTGTATAATCATCCTCGGATTGTATATGACTATATGGTAAAATGAAATATTACCATAAAGCTATTTATTCTAAGCTGATTTTATAACGTTTGTAATAAAATATCTGAGAAAATATTATCTGTTTTATGTTAACGTAATTACTTAATAGTCTTAATAATAAATAGCCGACAAATTAGTGTTACTAGTCGTTACACTTTTTTTTTATTAGTAATAATAAAATCAAATTCTTAATGGGGATGATGAAATTTTACTTACGATACGGCGTAACAATAAAATTCGCAACTAAAGTACTCCATAAAGCTAACTTATTTTATGTGTGTTAACGTGTAACATATTATGGCATTATTAAATAGCCAATAAATTAAAGTATTATCAGTTATTATATTTTTTAATAATATTACAACAAAATTGTGAATGAATATAAATTTTTAATATTAGAAAAGTTATTGCAAAAACTATTAAATTTATTATAGATACGTGTTTTTACAATTGTCAAAATCATAATTATTAAAGTAACATTAATTAAAAACTAGTTTGACTTGTTCCCTATTACAAAGTTAAAGAAACAAATAAAATAAATATCTTTTATTTTATTGTAAAAAGAAAATTAATAATTACAAATAATAAAACAAAAAGCCACTTCTCTCCTCGACCAATTACGATCAACAACAACAACGAATCATTTTCCTACCTCCATTAATTCCGACAATTAAACAAAAATACGAGTAAAAATAACAATAATTAATAAATTAAAATCAAACCCCCCAATTAAACAATATAAAACAGTCCATTTAACCAATTACCAATTATGATCAATCATTACTACGATTTTTAAAACGTGCATTTAGTGGTTAACGCAAAACGAGTTCCAGAACAGGCTGAGAGGCGGGGGTTGGGGGTTACTTTGCTTACGTAAGAAACGCTTAAAGGATTTTTCACGTAGACCTGAGGGTATACTTACCTCGATAGCCTTCTTCTTCTTCTTCTTCTTCCTTCTCTCTCACACTCCCACTCCCCATTTCTTTTTTTTTTTTATTTTTATTATCCCTATCCTCGACTTGGTGTGGTAGGAACGTCGAGCGCACGTGCGTTTTCTCGTTAGAATCCAAGCAGACTTTAGGGGTGCGAGAAAGAGGCAGAATATATGGGGGAAGGGGAAGGGAGGGGTAAGGGGGAGGGGGTGGACGGTGGTTAAATTTCAGACGGCTGTGCGAGGAGTAATCGTGTCGGCATGGATTCTAACCACGAAGTGAACGCGCGTGCTTTTGCAGATCTCTCTCTCTTTTTTTTTTTTTTACTTTTCCTTTCTTCCCCCTTCCCCCTCCTGATTTTTTTTCTTTTTTTTCGCACGGAATAACTACGAGAAGAGAAAGAGGAAAGAGAGGAAAGTCGCGATTCTTGGTTGAGTTAGAAGAAGGAAAACGCGGCACGTTATTCTTTTTCATGGTGGTGGTGGTAGGTAGTAGTGTTCGTAACTACACCCCCCCACCCCCTCACCAACCCTTAAACGTTATCAAAATTCCGCGCGTCTTTTTTCCCTTTTCTGTCGTCGTTGGCCCCTCGCCCCCCCCCCAACCCCCTCCACCATCTCATCTCATCTTTACAAGCACCATGAAGAAGAATCGTTTTTCTTCGCGTTTCTTCTTCTTCTTCTTCTTTTTTATTTTTTTTTTTCTTCGTGCTCACACGAGAGGGTTGCACGAAGGTTGTGTGGTAGTGGTATGGTATGGTATGGTGGTAGGAGTATGACGAGGAAGAAACCTCATTTTAGTAAAGCCTCTATGTGGATGGGGGGGGGGGCGCGTTTCTGTTTTCTTCCTTGGCATAATTTGAACGTGCATCTCATGAGAGAAAGAGAATGAGAAAGAGAATGAGAAAGAGAATGAGAATGAGCCTGAGAGGATATTCTCAAGGAGAATGGGATACGCTCCTCGAGTAGTGTAACACCCACATACACACACAAACACCATGGGGTGGTAAGCTTTTCTTACCTTGTACGACGCGCCTTAATTAATCTCCTTTCAATTAGACACCACGCCCTTTGCTACGTTCCTACAAAGGATCCCTCTCTCCTTCTGCCACCCTTCCCCCCCTCCTTCTCCCCTTCCCTTCCCACCCCCCCCGATTCCTTTAGGTGGTGCGGTTAACGCCTTAAGGAGCAGGCGTGAATTTGGAACGACGTTGTCTGATTACCGTTCGTTGTTTGTTCAACAACGTCTCACGCGTTAAACACCGGCCGAATACGGGTGGGTCTAGGTATTAGATAGAAACTACTCTCCAACGACTATCTTGTCTATGTATGGTTGTATCTACTATAGATGTGTGTGTGTATATATACGTACAGGTGTGTAGAACAACCGTATCCCTTGCTAATCGATGTTTCCTTTGGATCCGTTCAATGCATCATCTAATCGTTTGTGTACAGTATTGATATGGTTTAATATGTGTGAGATTATTTTTTATTGTTAATAAGCAGTTGTTTATTTGGTAATATAATATTGTGTAAAAGTTATCGTGTCGATTGATACTTGAATATATATTAAGGGATTATATATTTATTATTGAAAAGTTTGTTTATTTAATTAAGTCGATCTTTTGTTTTGAAATAAAATTTGAATAAATATATGATTATTTAAAAGAAGTATTTGTCTTTGAATATAATTTTTGATTGGAGTTTGTAAGCAAGTTTTTGATGCAATCCTGACGAATTTATCAAATAATTTAATATTGTATTTATATGAAATTATTTTTGTTAGTGGTTGATTGATATTTAATTTGCCGAAATATTTTCGTTTTGATTGACATATAAATATATGTTCAAATGATTATACTTTTTATTTAAAAATCGTTTAATTAAATTACTCGTCCTTTTTTTTGTTTTTAAATATAGAAATGAAATTCGAATAAATATGATTGTTTAAAAGTAGCATTGTCTTTGAATATAATTTTTTGTTTAAATTGGTAAGCAACTTTTTGATGCAATCCTGACGAATTTTTTTATCAAATAATCTAATATTATATTTATATGAAATCATTTTTGTTAGTGGTTGATTGATATTTAATTTTCTGAAATATTTTCGTTTTGATTGACATATAAATATATGTTTAAAGGATTATACTTATTACTTAAAAATTATTTAATTAAATTATTCATTTTTTTTTTTTTTTAATGGAAATGGAATTCGAATAAATATGATTGTTTAAGTAAAATATTTGTCAATAGAAGGGTTGTCTTTGAATATAATTTTTTGTTTCAATTTGTAAGCAACTTTGATGCAATTCTGACGAATTTATCAGATAATCTAATATTTTATATTTTTCTTTTTATTTATCTCATGTTTTCTTATATTTTATTGTTAATGAGATATTTATATAATATTAATTATGGTACAAGTGGTGGAACAGTAATGGAAAAATATAACGAAAGTGTGAAATTTAATTTTTTATGGGACGGTTTTTCTGTTCTTTTGAGAAAATAGACTTCTTAATGGTATCCCTGTGGGTTCCATGTTTTTTAACTGATTAAATCTTATTTAAAGGGCCATGAATAAGATAGAACAAATTACATTTTAATTCAGAGGTTTTTTTTATAATATTAAAAAAAAGTTTAATGAAGACGCTGGGTATTTAATTTAGTCGGTAAATTGGCTTATAATTTAATTTCTTAGAAAAGTTAATATTTTGATTTTGTTTTTTAAAAAGATAAAGTACAAATTGTATTTCATATTTTTGATAATTTCTGTTATATATATATTATAGAATTAAAAAAAAGTAACTCAGTTATGTCATCGGTATCTCCAAATATTTAATATCCAATAATTATTTCTTTTAAATTTATTTAAATTAAAAAAAAAAAAACAATCATTCAATCATTCCATTCGAATAATACATCATAAAATTTGTATCTCATATTTTCCATATATTTATTTTCAATTAGAATCGGAGAATGCTTTGCATTGTATCAATCCTGTAAAAAAAATATTATAACAATTATTTATTTTAACATTTTAATTGAAACAAAAGTAAGTTAGTTATGTTAGTATATTTTTCGAAATAATTTCATGTGAAAATATTGTTCGATAATCTCTCTTTTTCTCTCTTTTATTTGTACCTTTAATAAATCCGTTTATTTTCGAGTTTCTGGGCGTAGCTTTGAGGATTTCCTCGTAATTACATAAGGCGTTACCCTTTAACGTTCATTTACACGTCCCCTCTTTGTCATACTCACACCTCGAAAAGAGAGATCCCCTTTTCTCGAGACTACGCACGAGCGTATAATCTGCTAGCAATTATAACGACTTAAATAAGATGAAAGTTCGAGACTGCTGTTCTTCTCTCCCATGGATATAAAAGTAACGATATGAAAAGAGAAGTAAAAAGAAGTAAAGAGAAGAGAAGAGAAGAGAAGAGAAGATGAGAAAGAATGAAGAAGTTTTTCACGCTCGAAATCAAACAGATGCCGATAACGTAGTAGTAGTTGACATCAAAGTTACCGAAAATACGACACACAAATTACTTTTCTTTCACGTTTTCTTGCGTTGCATTGATATATATTCAAAAAAAAAAAAAGTGGTTACTTGATATAAAGAAAGAAGGAAACATCATTTATTTTTTTCTACGAGAGTGTTTTTTCATCATCTAATTTTACAATTAGTAGAAATAGAAAAGAAAATTTGACTGCTAGACGGGGTAATATATATGTATATACGTATTCTACGCGTAGACAAAAGAGTGTACTTTAATTTAATATAAAAATCATTAGGATCCGCTTGCTATAAGTATAAAAAATATTTGCTGAAACTTTTCAAAGAAATTGCAAAGATGCACAATTTACAGCATTGCATACTCTGACATTTTCTGAACTTTACATGCTAAATTTATAACTYGATATGGTATTCTACGCRTAGACAAAAGWGTKTACTTTAATTTAATATAAGTTTCATTAAAATCTATTCACTTTTAGTATAAAAAATATTTATCAAAACTTTTCAAAAAAAATTGCAAAGATGCACAATTTACAGCATTGCATTCTCTGACATTTTCTGAACTGAATTTATAACTCGATATGGTTTAAATAGTAATTTGATATTCTATAGGATATCAAAAGTATTATGTTCGATGCCTAGGAAAAACTGGATGAATTTTCAATTTCTGACTTCGTCTGAAGGCTCTTAGCATTCATAGTAATGCCGAGAAATTACTAGTAATGACTGATTTCCGGCTTTGACGATAACATATATATAATGGAAAGAGAATAAAAATAAAAATATAATACAGCCGAGTATTGCGCAAATACAAAAACAAAAAGAGATAGAGATAGAGATATAGGAAAAAGTAGAGAAAATTTTTCGACTAAATCGAATAAAGGATAAAAAGTAAAGTACGCCGAATCCATCGCGTGGGCGTCGTCAACTAAGGGCGGACTAAAAAAGTTATGATCGAACCTTGTCGAGTTGCGAGGAATCGATCAAATCCTTTCTCCGAGTGCTCTCTTTCTCTCTTTCCATGTTTTTTTTTTCTTTTACGTTCATGGAACGACTCAAGAAAACCGATTCATACGTTCTGTGAAAATCTTTGAAAAATCGTTACCCTACTCCACCTCGATCGTTTTCTTCTCTCTCTCTCTCTCTCTCTTTCTCTCTCTCTCTCTCTCTCTTTCTGTATATATTCCTCTCTTCTTCTATCCTAATTGATTTTCCTTGCTGGCTTAGCGAGCATGATTCTCAAGGAACTTCCTTTACACCTTAGCCAGAGTTTTCTCATCGATCTCGAAAGCACGGTCAGCGTGTCGGAGAGTTTCTTATCCTAAGTGGTAGCGATTTTCACCGAGGGACAAGTTTCGGCTAAGATGGAGTTCAAGAAAGAACAAGTTAGAAAAAGAGAGATAAGAGGAGGAGGAGGAGGAGGAGGAGGAGGAGGAGGAGGAGGAGAAAATAGAATAGAAAGAAAACGAGTTGCCATGGTAGGAGGAAGAGGTTTCGAATAAAATAAAAAAAAGGATAGATAGATAAGAATAGAAAAAGATAGAAAGAGGGGTTGAGAAGAAGGTTGGAGGGGGTTGCTGTAGTGGGTTGGGTGGATGGGTGGGGTTGGGGTGTAGAATAAAAAATTGAATGAGTAGAATAATTAAAAAAATGAAAAGGTCGACGTAACACAAACCTTGTTCGCCCGTAAATCGTACCACTCTTCTAGATAGGCTTCCTCGCGAGTGGAATTTACAGAATTTGCTGTGTGTGTGAGTGTGTGTGTATGTGTATGGGCCGCATGCTAACGTAGATTATAAAGTATGCAAATATGCAGGAGATGGATCGGCAGAGAGCGCGTTTTCCCAACCGAGAGAGATAGAAAAGGATAGAAACGTTGGTAGGATGAAGGGGTTGAGGGGAGGGCTGTGGATCTGGAGGAGGAAAAGGGATGGGCTGTTAGATGGTAAAAGACAGAATGAGAAGGGAAGTGAGATTACGAGTGTGACAGCAGCGGCTGGTTGGTTGGGTTGGTGGTATATTATAACCGGGCAGAAAGAGAGTGGACGAAAAGTATGGACTGGCAAGTGGTGTAAATCCAATTTGTGCAACATCGTAGGGCTTACGTCGTTTCATTCATTAGTTCTTATTAGGTAGCATTATGCTAGACAAGAGAAAATCCTCACCTTCCTTTTCCCTTTCCTTTCCTTTCTTTCGGAAATTAAAGGATAGTTATCATAATGTTTCTTTTTCTTTTTTAATTATCTTTGGAAGTAGCGACAGAGAAATATAGAAAATGAGAATAAGATAATGAAATCTTCTTTATCGATTATATTTTTTGATTTTTTTGTATTTTATTTCATCAGGTGTTTTGCGATATATAAATGATACTTTGTTTTTTGTATTCTATTTCATCAAGTGTTTTGTAATATAAATGACATTTTTTTTATGTTTTATCGATTGACGTAATGTTTAATATTTAATTTACCTAATGATAAGGTATCACAGGGAACTTGGACATAAAAAAGAAGTAGAATTTAATTTAACTAAGTTGGACGTTTCGTCCCTTTATTGGGACTTCTTCAGCAACTTAATCTTGCTACCCTTTTCCCGAATGTGTYAATTTTATTTGAACAATTGTTTTATCATTAGGTTTTTAATTTGTCAATGAAAATAATTCTTATTGAGTAGCATCATGCAAGACAAAAGAAAAGTC